TTTTGTTTCATATTAATTAGTTTGAATTTTATTTTCAGTATGGTGGCATGGAGGGGGCTTATAACACGTTACAGAGTGTTCACGACTTATTGGATACAGCCCATCCACAGCTGCAGACCGCATTCCACCAGGCCCATAACATCCTCTACAGTTCTATGACTGTTGGAGGCCAACAGGTCAGACAAGGGGCGTCGTCCAGTCAACTTCTATCTCAGTAAGACTACGTCCCTTCCCAGAGGACACAGTCACACCGGGCGAGCCATCGACCACTGCCGACATTGGTGAAGGTAGAACCGTAGAAGACACTGTGCCCGCGAACCCGCTGCCAATACCGGGTCTGAGGAAAACGAAGAAGCTGAGAATTTTTTATTTTTATTTTTATTTTATTTTTTTTGTTTTGTCCAGTCGAATTTCTGATTTTTTTTAAAAAAATTAATTACTCAGGTAAAGAAGAAGCTGCCACACCTATCACGAACACAACAACCTCGTCTTCTTCACCACCACCAAAGCCTAGGAAGGGGTCCCGACAGCGCAGAGCTCCGAATCCATACACTCCTTCCTAGTTAGTTTGTGTTGTATGCTATTAAATTTTTGGACATATTTGTTTTGTATTTATAAACCGTATTTTGACATTTTTGTATATAGTGTTTCTTGAATAAATTATCGTGGTTGATTGTTTTTTTATATAGTGTATGTTGAAATATTGATTGGCGAAGATAAGAGTTTGTTGAATAGGTTTATTTGAACAGGTTAATTGAACAAGTTTATATATTAATTTTTTTTATTTCTGTACAGTAAAACGTATTTCAGAAATATGTTTTTCAGAAAAACGTATTACCGGAATACGTTTTACTAACAAATTAAATTCAATTTTGGGCAAAATTGATTTGGGGCAAAAATAAAACAAAAAACGTATTTTCACAATACGTTTTATATTTATTTTTATTTTTTTTGCAAAAAATTATTTTCCAAAATTCTAAAATTAATTTTAATTATAAAACTTATTCTCATTATGCGTTTTACTCTTTTTTAATTATGATTAATTAACTTAATTATGTTATTTAATCATTATAATTGAAACCGTATTCTCAAATTATGTTTTTTAAGTTAAAACATATTCTAAAAATACGTCTTTTAATAAAAAAAAAGTATAGTCATAATACGTGTGTTTTATTTTGGTCTACTTCTTTTTTATTTTTTTGGTTCAGTAAATTCTTTTTTTTTTTT